TAGTTTCATGTGGAATCGTTAAAGAACTCGTAAAGCTGCCGAAGGCAAATATTGCGTTCGTAGCAGCTGGCAAAGTAAAAAGTGTGAACACATGGAACTATTCACGGCGCTCTTCTCCAACATTTTCATTTTCCAATAATTTCATCGTCGATGTTCTCATAAATCGTGACAAAAAATTCGTAAATGCCTGATTTCCACCGTGTTGCAACCCTGAAGAATGATGGCCCGGTAAACAGCGTCTTTGATGTTTCATTGCCAGCGTGCGCTAATTGTCTTGGCAGGGCTGGCTGGATTCTGTTATTTTGAAAACGTCCCAGCAACACTGTCTTCAACGAAAATATCGTTCGCGAGGCAGCCAGCGCCTCGAGGCTCATTGTAACACGATAACAACATCACGATGTACGGCGCCGCGCTTCTATTTTCATTCTAATTAAGTTTCCCAATCCCGTTCGCTTGCGAAATAGTGAGCATTCTTGGAACAATGGAGATTTAGACGATAATCGAGGTATTAATGTAAGATGAGCCTTTAATACCCAATAACAGACGTTCTACCACTCGAATCCTTTTATTCAACTAATTATAAGTGAAATATTGTTAATGTTACGTAACTAATTCAAGATTTATATCCAGATAAAGATCTTCTCTATCGCTGTGTGTAACAGAAATCTGTTTTTCCACGAGAACTGATGAATAATATGAGACACCCTATATATGGGGTAATACGACCAAGCACAGAGTGTTTTTCGTGCAAGAACGAATCGAAAATGTGGAATGAAATTTTGTCAAAAGAAGCTTCGTTTTCGAGTGAAAAAATATCTTTGCGGACACACCTACCGCGTCTGACCATTACTAGCTGTTTCTACTTGCGTTGGAGCAAGGCTCTGTATACCTAAACGATCCTATGGTATTTGTTTCAATCAGCTCCAACTAGCGTGAATAATGCGATAAAATCGTTGGGATATTAAGAACACATTATAATGTTTACCTACTCGTTATAGATTCAAGTAGAAATAATGAATAACGAACAGACATGGTGTCACGATGGGGAGAAATGCACTTCTCCGTACAAAGTCGTACAACTTTCGATCGAAACGAGATAATCGAAATATTCTTAGGCGAGCTTGCAGGTAGTAGTCGTAGAATAAGAGAAAAACAGCCCATCGATCTCGGGACCTCCTCTCCCAATTTCGATATTATCCGAGTGAAATGACGCGATTCGATTTGGAAATTTGGTTCGAAACTGGTACAGTTCTGCAACAACGTTTGCCAGCTTTTTTTCTTTTCTTGGCTCTCGTCGAGGAACCTTCGAGTACATGTAAAATGGGAGACGCCAGGCTGAGAGAGTGAGAGAGAGAAAGAGAGCGAAGGGGCTAGAGGGTGGCTGACAGAGGGGTGAGTCGACCTGAATTTCAACGCGTGACCCTAGGCTCCATGACGTCACGGGACTGACTTTCCTCGCCCTCGTCCGTGTCCTGAAGTATTCAGGGCCGCGAAGGAGCGCGGTAAACGGAGCCGTGAGAAGCTGAAGAAAGAGAAAATTACGGGGTAGGGGTTGGACGAGAAGGTTGTGTCATCGGGGAGGGGTTAAAAGGGGGCAGAGGCTTTCAAAAGGTTCGCAGCAATTGCGTTAAGCAGCCGTGACTGTCGTGTCGGAGTACCGAAATAGGGTTACCTGCAAACGAGACTGATGACTAAGAGTGGCCGTTTTAAAGTAAACTCGTCGTGCACGGGGTGCTTTAACTTAGCGATCCTCTAGGTAGCGATTGAACTAAGCGTGTGTACCATTTCTAATTCCAACCACCTCCCCTTTCAGTTTCCGCCTACATTCGTAGGCTACCGAAGGTCGTATAGATCCGTTACAGTGGCCATCAATAATCATAAATAATAAAGTTAACGATGCACCATTTAAGGAGAATTTTAATACGTGTATTAAATAAAATTACGGGAATGACAAAAAGAAGATACAGAAAACGAAACGGATGTACAGGGTAGCTTTTCTCGAGTTTCGACCGCCATTAGGTCTGTTTTCATCGGTGCTAACCGTCTCGTTGATCGATGACTCGGATCGAACGTTAATTTCGTTTGGAAACGCGACCAGTCAGAGAGGATCGTAAAGTCGAGCCGGAAAGTCATGTTTCGTCGGGGAAAAGACAACAATCGATATTCCCGTATAACCGTGGCGAGAGTTCGGTTTACGTTTCGATGGTCGCATCGCGACTGGCCGCGATAAATCACGTCCGATTAAACTGTTTTCAACGGCGGTGGCCGTTTCTGTGGATCGTTCGCCGATCTTAATGGCCGTTTTCCGGTTTCGCAACCGTACGGCCAGAGTTAATCTTAGCCGTTTTACTGTTCCAGCGATTTACCAACCGACTGCTCGACTTTTTACAGGTGCGATCACCCGGAATACGTTGATTCCTGCTTTTAGGGCTGTTTGTTTCCTTGAAAAAACCACGCAGTTCCCTGCTCCTCTTCCTTAACGATGATTTCAGCAGCTCAACATGATCCTTTACAACAAAATGTTTGTTGAATTTTATACGATTACTCCATATGTCCTTTTTCTACGAGGTTCTTCTATAATCTTTAGCCTTTTTTAGTTCCTTTCTTATCGCCAACTCTCTGGTGACGTTTACTCTGGTTTCGAACAACTCGTTGCCCACCTATGGTAATTGATATCGATTACACGCAATTATTGTCCTTAATTAAAATATGAATATTAACGCCATACTCGCCGCACGTATCATCATTCATAACGCTGAACCGTCGGCGTTATTCTACCGCAGTTTGTAACTTTGCGCGGATCACTCCATTATTTGTGAATGGTAATTACGTGTTAAATGAGAACTGACTGCTGCCCACCGCAAACCGGTCGATGAAACAATTTTATCGAATAAGGCTAATATTCTATAACTGTATCGCTTCTGTATACACAATTTCCACGCTGTAGTTTTATTTAATCGTTCAAAAACCACAAAAATAGAGCCCTCAAAAGGAACATTAAGATTGTATTTTATATTTATTTCATTTTAATTCTTTAAAAATTTTATGTAAAAATAAAAGCACCCGTAAAACATGCCATTTAAACTCCAATAAATATTAGGACCACAAGCGAGAATCATCAACGTTTCGAAACTCGCGTAGATCTAAAGTCTGCATTTGCATTTTCCAATCGTTTCCCGTTCGCGACAACCACAATTTCCTTCCGCGCGTATCATAATAGCGTCGCTAATTTATCGAAGGCGGCCTTTTGACACACTGCAGACCAGTGTAATAGAAAGCGTTCGCCAACACTATGAATTGTCCCCCAGTTTAATAGAGTTACCTCGCGAGATAATCTCAATTGCACGCCGTATGGATTAAACAACGTACTTCGAGGCGAGTGTTGTAATCTGTTTAGCGAACGCTGGCCCATTTATGTCGCGGTTCTCTCGTTTACCATCTGGAGTGGTTCCTGATACAATATATTTTCGATGGTACGAAGAATTCTATAATTTAAAGAAAGCTAATAGAAGCTTCTGTTATCGAACCAACTAATAAATTTACAAATTTACCATGTTAACCGACGCCCTGAAGTTGTGACACCTGACTCGTGTTTATACATCCCGAAACCACAGACGTTGTCACCTAACATTTTTCTAGCAACCATGAACCGTTGCAAGTCCTTGCAAGATAATTGTTAGTCATTCCTGGCGCGTCCTTCGACTCCCTTCGTACGGAAGCCAGCTAAGGAATGCCATGTCGGACACGAATCGGTGCTCGGTAATAGCTGGAACGATCCTTTGAAGATTGGCTGCGTACCAAAATTCTCATGGACGGTCACGAACAGATACGACTGGCGTCGAATTTATTATTCTATTCGCGACAGTTTGATATATGGTTTCGCGATCGAATTAAAGCGATGCACAACGGCGTGTCGCAAGAGACGAGAAAATATTGGGGCTGCGTGAACGTTTCACCCCCTAAAAATAAACAAACCGAGTCCAAGAGTTATGAATTCCAGTGGCAACATTTCGGCTACGACATCGCGGAAACGGGCCTTGTTTGCTGTTTGCTACGAACGAGTTTACGAACCGAGCAAGATAAATATTAGGTGTTCGTTGCTCTGTGGATTTAGTTCGATTTATTTGCTTGGGGTCGATTGGAGATAGATAAATAAACGGAGGATGCTTATGTATGATATTTACCTATTTTGTTTTTTTCGTGGGTAGGGAAATGAGACTTGAAAGTTTAAGAAATTTTATATCGAGTAAGATGCTCGAGTAGTTGTTGTTTCATTTTTTTCTGAGGAAAGACAACGTCAGGGAATGTCAGTATCGACTAGTGGTAGGATTAGACGAAAAGAACTTTTATTACCAGCACACGAATCCTAATCCCTTTATACGTGTACCACCAATATTGTCGCGAGAGGAAATCGTAGAGCACCCTATATATATATATATTAATTTTCGAAGCCCGCAAGAAGAGCCAGAAGTTGACATTTTTCTCTGGGAAAGTTTCATGGAGACGCCGAGCGTGTCGACTCCATCTCTGTCAGGATCTGTTCCCTCTTTTTTCGAAAGTGCACGACGAAGTATATTCCGGTCAGCCAAAGTTCCTGGCGGTGTTCCCCGTTATTGCATCCAAAAGAAAAGGGCGAGTAAGCGAGCAGCGCGACCCGGGAGGACGGAAGGACGACATTTGTCGAGGGACCGGGCGCGAGAGAATTCGAAAAACCGATGATGAATTTCCCGAGTTTCGTGTTCCCCTGAGCACTGAGCCAGATCCGTGGGAAAAAAAAAAGGGAAAACAAAATTCCGCGACCCGAAGTCGCGGCTAAAATGGCGTCTAAGGGAGGTAATAGGTTTAGGACTATTATTTAGCGATTTGTATGAATATTTTCTTGGCAAGAAAAGAGAGTATACAATTTATTGAAACTACATATACTCGAAGAAACATCTAAAAAAATGAAAAGTTACGCAGTACCGAAGTTTAATCGACGGTCCTCTCTCTTATCATTGCAGAGGAGGACTGCAGAGATAACGGTGGACAGTGGGGAACAGAGTGCTGTGTTCGTCCGTATTTCCGGTGAGTGAAACGCATACTGTAATTTAATTGAATTTTTTCCACCCTCACCCATTGCATGAATTTTATTTTTCGAAAAAGTCATTTCTCTTTTCAATTTATACACCGTTACAACTAACAATATTTCAAAGTAATACTTAGAGACCTTAACGAGGTTGTAACGAAATTTAAACTAGTACCTAAAGTAAAAAACGAGTACCTAACCGACGGTACTTTTGACGTAAAACTTTTATTGTGAAAGAGTGTCCCGCTCGACGATACCTGGAAACGAGACGTAAACGTTTTGAAATTCGATTATTTTTAATTTGACGAAAATAACAGCTCCTCCCGTTAAATTAAAATTACTATGGTTGCTCGTTGAAGTAAATTAAAATAAGTTAATATATGCCAGCGTTCGCTTCGCAAAGAGGAAAATTTACGCGTTGCAATCGCAGCGTTATTAGAGCACCGTGAAACAGCGACAAACGTAAATTGAGCCTCTTGCTGTGAGAAAATTCAGTCAAGCACTCCTCCTTTAACGTAGAATCCGATAGCTGGTATGGAAGTAACCCGGAGCAATTACGTAGATGAGTCTTTCCTTCGCGGAGGACTCGCGTCCAATTGCTATTTTAATTCCAATTGTTTATAAGACTCTGCAGACATTTCCATGGTAGTCGCAAACTGGGTTTCCAATCAAAAATATCTACGTTTTCAAATGTGTATCTGAATTTTAAATAGCGGATATATCTTCATCCGAAGTAACGATGATCATTGTTTTAAATTGCTTCCTGATTTGTTATTTCTCTTTTCTCTTCTTGAAGTTTCTTCCTAATATTTAATTTTTTGAGACGACACCTGGTAAATTACAATTTCATTGTATAATAAATATTTCTCCCTTTTGTCCATTTTTGTGGCGAATGCAAGAATAAAAAAAAAAAAAAAAATAGATGCCTACAGAAATTTAATAATTAAAATATGTACAAAGAAAGAAGTACCTATAGAAGCTTAGTTATCAGCGTAAACTCTGCCTTAAAGGACCCTGTTGTTCATCGACTGTAAAGAACTGTAATTTATGATTTTTACAAGCTGATATTGTGCATTTCCGAAGATTAATTCGCGTCTCGCGTGTCACTGTCTTCGATGCATGCATTTTTCATAATCTCCTCGAGTTATTACATTGACGACTACTCTTTTTGCTCTCATCTGGGAGTCCATAAATATTAATAGGGAAAAGATAAATGACAAAATCAGTATTTATATCACAATTTGCAGATGAATTTACGACGTGTCTTAGCCACTTTCAGAATGTCTTTCAGTACTTTTAATGGGGCATGGAATGGTATTAATTTAAACGAAAAATATACTTGAATAATTCATGGCAACTTGTGCATATACGATTGACTTTGTTGTATTTACCTGGAGGAACTAGAAAGACACGTGCACGCGTCTTTGGTTTATAATTATTTCCCTCTGACACGAACTATTATTTCCAAGAGATATCCTGAAATTCGTCTTTTCCTAATCGATTACCTTTTCTTTTTTTTTATTCTATAATTTTTTATTTTATTCCGGATACCACGATTGAAAATGTTTTCGATAACAGAAAAGATCGATCGATTAATAAAAGGTGAATCGAAGGTATAAATTCGAAGATAGTCAATTTTTAAGAAAAGAATTACGTAGAACAGAACTGTTATTCGAATTTCGATTCGGTTGTTGTTTCACGGAGAAATCCGTGACGTAATTTCTTTTCCCTGCGGATAGTGTCGGAGACAATTTCATTCTATTTTTACAAGAAATATTTTTTTAGCGCTGCTTTAGTAGAAATGTGGGGTCTCGCTATTGATTTCTTTCGGCTAGCCCAGATGCTCTATGGCGTTTATATCAAAGGATTAGGATAGGCTTTCCACTGATAGGGCAAGATATAAAGGATCCACTTCTCAACGGTTCCAATACAATACTCTCCAATCCCTGTCCAATTGAAAAATACATCAGACTCCAACGTTTAGGGATCCCCCTGTCTCTGTCAATTTTATTTCGAAATGTCTGCTCTCTGTTTTACATTCATTTCGAACACTATAAAGTAAAAGCGTGTTGCCAGGTGATCGAGATGAAAAAAGAGGCCCATTGAATTAGATAATACCTAGAACATGTTACACATTATTGAAATGAGAAATTGCTGAGTTCGAATTTTCATCGATAGAAAAGCACCAATGATATATTAATACATGATCAATGATAAAAATGACTACCCACCACTATGTTTTCCAAATGTAGTCGATAAATGGTACAATGTATCGTAATACCAATTTCCATTGACACTTATTAATCGATCGAATCGTTTAAAAAGCTTCCTGGATTGGAACGCAATTCTATTTATTGCGCTCGAGCGGGTAGAAAAAAAAAAAAGCGTGAAACGAGTAAATACTTTTGCCGGCCGATGGATGCGGCTGGGAAAACAAACGAGGCGGAAAGGGAAACGAAGCGATAACCTCGATGAAATTTACGCATCATAAAGTCTGCCGTTTTCTTTGACCGATAACACTCGCGGCTGCAATTAGGTTAATTAGACAGCGACAGTGCGTAAACTCGTCACGGGAAAGCTCGCCCGTGTTCTATTTCTATTAGGCTTCTTTTTTCGGTGTGTTCGAGGCGAAAAATAAAAGAAAATTCATGGAACGTCGATCGATGGTTGCTAATACGGAGCAGTTTGTTTATTACTCCGTTCGATTCAAGTGAAATTTAAAGGTTTCGTTTATACTTGGAAATGCACGTTTATGTATAATTTGGATATATATTTAATACATCGACGTATTGTAATCTTCCATTTCGTATGTTTTTTGACATCAGTCATATTTTTGTAATCAACTGACTATGACCTCGTCGACGAGACGCTAGCGACCATAAACGTCTGGTCCACGCGTTCGTGTAGTACAGCATGATGTATGCAGGCGCGCAGACAGCGAGCGCATTTAAATTAATTAGCCGCGTGTACAGGGCACGCGGAAATGCATCGACGTGTTGTAATTTTAACGCGGCACGGCTATTTTCAGCCGCGACGATTAGGATTGCCTGTAAACAACAACGATAGCAGTAACCTCGTTGGCAATGAGTTAGGGTACATCGAGACCAGGCTCGTCGATCTTGTTTCGTGGATGTCGCTGATTGCTCAACAATGGCTTTCGATTATCTATTACGTTTCGACCTGAGATTCGTACGACTTACGTTTGGCACGACGACCATAATATATGTATGTAATAAACACTGTTGTCTATCTGAATGTTAATATAAGAAATGTCCATAAGAAATGTTCAAACTTTGATGTCTAAGGGAATTTGGCCGCTTTGACGCCCTGAGAAAGGGAGAAATTCTCTTTGAGAATTTATTTCTGCTCGTTCCTCTGAACTGATAAGGTCATCAACTGGATTCCCAGGATCAATAGTAGCAATATTGTAACTAATAGGATTCACAGGGGACACCTCGTACAATACGAGTCCCCAGAGGAGCGATTGCAGCTATGTTGATACGAATAGAAGCATCATTCATTCAACATCAGCAATTCAACGTTATGCAACGTTGTGGGGATCAGCTAGAAATTCTGGGGATGCGTTTTTACGACCTCTATGAATTCGGGAGATCGTCCCTATCTAATCCCAGTAGTTTGGTAGCAAGTTCTACTATTGTTACTATTAACTAGCTGTAGCTGACCACGCGTTGTTGTGGCTCGGACGAACATTTACATTTTTATTTACATTTTGTATATAGAGATAAGTTATTAACGACTCTGCTGTCCGATCTTCCCGTGGCCGTCATATTTTTAAAAGGTGGACTTTTTGCTTTAGTATAGTCAGCGAGTTAAGTGGCTACTCTTACGACTTCCAAGAAACCGAGTGTTCCTATTAAAGCCTACATGCTTCTATCAGCGTCTACTAGTTGCAGGAATGTGTTTAGCAGCCTCCACAACTTCCGAAGGTGTGTTTATCAGATTCTACAAGTTCTCCCAGGTGCGTTTATCAGCTCCCCGCAAGTTCTGGACGCCTGTTTATTGGCTCCCTTGAGTTCGGAAGTTGTCTCTATCTAATTCCACAAGTTCGACAGTAGACCCTATTGTTATTAACGAATTCGCAAACCGTCCCCTGGGATCTCGTGGTTTTAGAAGTTGTCCTTACCGGGTTCTATGAGTTGACAAGTTGTAACTGTCGCGTTCGATGAGTTAGGAAGTTGTAACTGTTGCGTTCTACGAGGCTAGAAACTGCATGGATAACGTAGAACACTCTGTCGACGAGATAGGTCGCTCTGCTGGCAATGTAGAACGCTCTGTTGGCATATGGCTCGATCAGTTGGTATGGTACGTTGCCTACAGACTGTGTTACATTACCAGCAGAGTACTCTGCGTTGTCCACCTGGAAACTGCATTCTTCCAGCGTCTCAGAAATGGAAAATAAAATGTTCCTGCAAACATTTTTATGTTGTACGAGTCTAAAAATTGCAGTTATCGGTGCTGAATATAACGATATAAACGAGAATTATGATTCTCTACCTAATAAATTCCCGATTGTTTCGACAAGTTCGCTCGCTGTTTCGCGTTTTCCAACTTTGGCTCAGCATTTATTCCGATCGACACGCGCCAGTCGGCTAAGAGACGTCGTGGGACGCATACTTAGAGTTCGAAGGAAAAAAAAAAAAAGTGTTTTCCCTCGCAATTACGCGTTTGCGTAACGATGCCACGACTAGAAAGCATTGTCAGACGACTGGGTTGCGACATCCAGTTGAACGTGCGCCACTTGATACGCGCATCTTGCCTCGTTAATAATTTCTGTTGCGCAATACACGTTAGGGTACTCCGCGTTGCGACATCGCATTATTCGGGCGTTATGTGATTGCAGCCTTTTTTTTTTTTTCTTTTCTTTTCATGCAAATGCGCGCGCGCACGCGTGACACAATTGTCTACGGAACACTTGAACGGCATTTCGTTTCTATTTAACGACGAATTAAAGAAGGGATAATCGTTCCTTATCGAGCCAATTGTCAGACTGTGACCATTCCGAGCGACTCTTACTCGTTTGGAGAGGCGAGGTTCGACCGTGGAAAAATTGTTTAGAAAACACACTTAGATACCCTCGGAAAGTTTGATTCCGAATATGTTCCAAACTATTTCATACCATTCGAAACTATCACTTCGCTGTACCGAGCTCCATAATTACGCGGGAGTTCAAGTATCGATCCAAGAGTGCTATCGCACTCTTCGACGAGACTGCCAACTTTTTCCACCGAGCAACGTGTAATTAAAATATCCTAATAAATTACATATCTTAGAATAAATTAGAGATAAATATAGAAGTATCGTAACCTGAATTGTTCCTAGACTAACGTAACTTTTACCCCTTTTATTTTGCAGAAGGCGCCACTTTGCCAACCTCGGGCGTGCCAGCGACTCTTACGGAGGTCCACGATGAACCACCGAGGGAAACTGCGTTCAGGCGTTTATCCGAGGCGGACCGAATCCTTTTGGAGAGTTTGGACATCGGTCGATCGAGGCACAGGCCCACGGGTCGTTTCCTAACGATGCACAAGAGACGCCGTAAGAGGCTTACCACGAAATCCTTAACTCAGGAGCCCGGTATCCTGGACGATATTTTCCATGGCCTGGTTCAGGTAAGCCGTTGATCGTCGGATACAAATTTTATATGCCTTCTCGCTGGCAAACCATCCCCCAAGACTCGCGTCAACCCCGACACAAGGCGTCTATAAAGTATGCAAAATATTGGAATCGAGGATACGGGTGGCCGCGGGTCTCTCTGCGGTAAAAGGGAAGTTATGGTTAAATGGATCGAATTAGACTCGAAATCGCAGGGAAATATACGCTTAGGGAAGGTAATTAGGGGGGTTTAAGTCATGGTGTCGATGTCTTTGAAATTGTTTAAAAGTTAAGTTAAGTTTTAATCTTAATAAATTAAAGGATAGAGAATAAGTTAGATCTATTCTGTTGGGTGTATATTTTATCTTGAACGCACAGTTCCATTTCTGTGTCAATCGAAGAAGTCTTTGTCGTTATCGATTTTTCTTTTCTATTTAAAATTGCGGTTATGGAGCAGACGAAGCACTCATCGCCTAGAAAAAATAACCTCGATAGAGCGAGTGTCTTCTTAACCCCTTCTAGCCTGCAGCTACATAACTTGCAGTATTTTTTTGTGTTTTTTTAACGGCCATCAATCTCTTTTATGATAAATAAAAATAAATTACGAATGTTTCCCGTTTCAAAATATCGTCAATTCGATAAAAATGGCTATAAAATGAAGTAAACGAAGTCTCCTGACTTCTCTTTAAACCAGGAACGTTCTTATCCGCCTAACGAGCTTAGATAAATTGATCCTATCATTAGAGTATCTCGATAATTCAGTAAACAGCATTATTTTTCAATCGGATTTATTCAAGAACGGCAAGTTACCATCGGTTGCCACTTAATTAAGCTCAGTTATCGGCCAAATTGAATTAATCGGTCGTTTCCGACTGAATAAAATAAATAAATAACGAGGCAAGTTAGATGCTCGGTAAACACAGGGTTTCTAATGGCATCGAGTATACTTATCAGTTCCTGGAATTCCGAGATGCGCGAGGTCGCATCAGTTTCATGTTGCATCGCGTCTGTTTGCGTATATTTTTTACCCTGTCGTTCTTTTGACGTTTGTTTCAAAACAGGAAGAGGAAATAAATTCAGCGATTAATCGTTGATTACTTCGTTGATCGACAAAGTTTTCTAATCGGATCATTTCAATGGATTTTATAATTACTTTAAACTGCATTTTAATTAAGTGGACGCCTCGAGCATTTTATTCAACTTTTGCGACACTTGATGTCTCGAATCTAAAGTTTGATTAAATAACAACCTAAATTAATGTAAGCAAGTGGATCTCCAAAAGGGAACTCGAAGGCTTTACTTTTTAATAAAACACGAGTGATCTAGAATTTGGAGTTGGCGAGCATGTTTTGTTATTAAAAATAGAAATCCTAAAGCCTCCTTTGAGAAACCCTTTACAAAAGATGTTTGAAATTATGTTTTGGCTACTATAAATGAAGTCAAATTTGTCTATCGAATTGACGATCGATTTATCGTCCACGTGGAACCGATGGTATTTCTTTTCATCCGTTTACGCAACCGGATTGATGTAAAAATTGGTTAATTAACATCGGCGGCTGATCGGATGGATAAAATCCGAACTGGTTAAAGGACTTAGTAACTGTTGGCTAATTAAAGCGGAAAACCAATGATGGCGGTCGAACGGACAGAACCTTTGAGCGATTTAATCGGTTAAATGCTAATACGACATTACTGGTCAGAAATGATCGTGACCGTGTATGAAAGTCACTGATTTTGTTGAGAAATAAATTTATACGTTGGCGGGCCCACGTGCTCGCATAACAGAGCGAAAATATTCATGTAACGCGGCAACGATTATCCTCGAGAGAATATGTAAATTACCAGAACAGAGGAATTATGAGAATATTCCATTTATCACGATAATCTTCGACTCGTAATTTTCGACGTCATGAAATTAATTTGGTTTGCAAATATATACGTTTACACCTGTATAATTTTGTTTATTTCATTTTAATAGAACTATAAAGAATTTCTTTTTAATGGACTCTATAATGATAATTGGCTTCCGTAAATTCTCAAATACTTTTCTCTGCTTTTATTGTCTATTTTACGTGCCGTTCCATAAATATTAGGTACAAGGTGTTAATAATTCGCGGGATCGATATTTCGTTTTACGCTTAATGACAGAAGGGTAGATTTAGGAGCGGACCCATCCAAGTTTCATACTGTTCACGCTTCCCAAGTTAAACAAGATGGAGGCTTAATAATAGAATTCGTTGGAATACGATTCTTCGTCGATTTCCATCATTCGATCTCGTATAAATATCGTATAAAAGCTTCTATATAAATTGAAAGCATTTTATTGTCAACGTTAATAATAATATTTATTCTTGTTCTAAATTTCTTCAATTATTTTACGTGATATTTCTGATTAAATTCCTGGTGACCATCGAGTGTGCACGTTCCCCCACGTCTAAAAATACGATGTACACCGGAAACGAAATTAATTTTGTGATGTTTAAGTTGCTCGTTATCTGGCAAATTAAATATTTTCATGGAATAATACTTCTCTCGCGTGGTAGATCTGTAATATGTACTTAAGCGATAAGGGAACGCACGAGTTGAGCCATCTCTTTTCACGTGTCAACGTGTATTTATTGCAGGTTACTCTTACTCTTGTCGGGAACACAAACGTATAACTCGTTCGCTGCTTAACCATTTAAATTACACGAAACGGTTCGATCAACAGGAGTTGATGATTTATCGTTTGGCCAAGAAACGGACGTGCTCGTTCCGTCGCGATACCACTGTGCGCGTTGGCACGTTTCGATCATTACTGACATTCTGCATCGCCACTTTCCGAGTCGACAGTCCTAACGTTTAAAACTGGAGCTCGCCTTGCTAAAATCTAGAGCATCGATAGGGAGACCTGTTGGAAAATAAGGGAAAAATAACGAGTCAGTCTCGAACGACCACTTTTCTGAAAAGATGTATAAAAAGCTGACTAATTCTCAAAAAATTCGTCTTAAAAATTCCTCTCTTAATGATGAACATTTCTGATTGAAACTGTTTCTTTTCCACGTTTTCAATAATGCGCGATATTATATCATACTATTATGATTAAATTGTGAAAAGTGGAACGGCGGTTGTCCTTGGATCAGCTAACAGAGACAGCTCTGGTTATCCTCCCCTGGATCCAATTCGCGATCAATTAGCGAAAGAATACTGTAGTCCCTATTTCCGTATCGTTGAAAACATCCGCCTTTGCATAAAGGAATCACGGTAGGATTTGTAAGTGAAGCACGTTTCATTTGAAGTGGAGGTCTTCCGTTCGAGACAAAAAGCAGATCATTGGTAAAAGACCAACGTTTGCATAAGAGGTCAAGCGTAGGCCATGGATAAACGAGGACGTAGTACTACGTCAATGGTTCTCAACTTTTAGAAACGACCTTATTCTACGTCATTGACTTTCAGCCTGAGGGACACCAAGTGACGTAGGCCTGCGTCATTGATTCCCAAACTGTGAGACAGGAAATTACGTCCAAGGGTTCGAAGAATAGCTCCTCAAACTGTCTCCCAACTTGTAGAATAATAATTTACAAGCTGAAGTCTGACAATTACAAGAGCAGTTAATCGTCGAAACGGTTAATGAGCGAAGCATAATATCCTCGACGATCGTTTAAATTACGAGGAAAGACTTTGATTAGCAAGACTATGTCGCGAGTTCCCGAATGATTTATCGTACGCCTCGAGAAATGGATGTGCTCGTTCTATTACAATACCATTGTGCACGTTGACACGTTTCGACCCTTTCTACCCGACGAAACTGTCCATTTCACTGTCGCTGATCTATTGTGCCTTGATGATTTGTTGCAGTGCGCGTTACAAAAGGCCGGAAACTGGCGGTTTAATGCGTTTACGCTAGAAACAGTGACAGGAGGTAAGCAACTACAAAAAATAGTACATTTACGTCCTACTTCAACCCCTTGATCTCTTATTAGACTACGACGTTTCTTTTCCTTCTTCTGGTCATCATAGCTATCGACAAAGAAAGAATTTTCCAAAGAAATTGTATTCCAAATGTTTGATACAACCTTAATTCCGTTCGTCTCGAAGGCGACGAAGAGCGAAACGATATTTACAAGCAGCTACGTCTCCGCCTCCGCATTAATTCCGCGATGCATCGCTGCTAAAAATTCATACGGATAACGCGGGTTCCTTGTCGGTCGTTGGTCGATTTGAATTTTAGAAGATGTCGTCGAGTTAAGGGGGAGGAATTGTGGTTACCAACAAAAACAATGCCGTGGCGTGGATGGTATCCCATTACGAATCCCATTACGAATGCAAGCAACGCGCGCGCATCCGAAACGAGCGAAACTCTTATTCACGTAACAATTTTCCGATAACGAATCAACGATACAACTTTTTCGTTCGATGAAATTTCAGATTTAACTTTTTATCTTCTTTTCGAAACCTGTCATTAACAATTTCACCAAATGATTTTATATATAGCAGCGATAGTTAACGATGGATATAGTAATTTCCATCACACAGATCTCGTGCGAATGCTAATAGAAAGTAAATTTTGAATGAACGTTAGAAGAACGCTAACTGTAAATAACTCCCTGTGCTTCGTTTGGCTATTATACGAATAAAGTTCTATATTTACCCATCCACGGGACGCATCCTCGTTTTTCACTCCATCCGAGTTTCCTTCTCGCAATAGTTCTCGCGTTACCATTATTGTACCTCGTCCGCGAGTTCCAATTTCGCGACACGCTAGCTTGGTTTACACTTCGAGTTCACATCTGTCACGATTGTGGGACACGCGAAACGCGGGCTACAGTCAAGCAAATACGTACAGGGTGACCCATAATTGACAGTTGCATCGGAAATTCCCGCTAACACGGAGTCGTTACGTTTCCAATCTACCTATAATATTTGACGTACTATACATGGAGAACAAAACCTTAACCCTCGAACATTTCGACTTCGTCATCCAGAAACTTTTCAGTTTGCTCGATTCAATTTCCAGGTCGTTCACTGCCAGTATTATGCGTCCACCTCTTTCACTGGTACGGACTTCTGCAGCACTTCAATCTGGACGTGGTCACAGTGTGGAAATTGTTCGGTAAGGATATTTTTTAATAATTCTAAGAAAGTTTGAGAAGAAATTAAGGCTTTTCCAAAAGGGATACGATCGTTAATGAGAAGATACAGCCTCGTCGTGACTAACAATTAATATAAATGTATAACTTATATAAATGTTGAGATATGCTCCTTTGGAAAACCCTTTGCGAACGAGACAAACACGATATTAAGCGCTATCACTCCATGGAAGCATCGAGTGTTTCGCGATAAAAATGCTTTGCAAATTTATAGAAATCAACATTATTTTCTCGTTAGCCTCATTAAATCTGCATAGAACCGTATTTCACGTCTAGTGTCATATTTTTTGCTCTACGTAGTATTTCACGTTTCAATTATTCACAAATTGCGCACCTTTCAAGTCCGATCGAAACAATTCGCACGCTCCAAAACAACCGTCGATCTATAAAACTATCTTTTCTAGCGAAAAATCCTCTTCTAGCGATAATCCTCGAGTAATGGAGCATTTTTTAACATTATAATAAGGTAACGTTGTAATAAGATAATCCTTCTAATAAGTAGAGAAATAGGGGAAAATTCAATTTCGGCGCATAATGAGGTTCCGCAGAGGAAAAGCTTATGCAACTTTTTCATTTAGAACTTAATTATCTGCAAGATTTATTTGGAACTTTCTTTGATATTTTTGCAAATAACTAATGTATAATTAAAAAGGTATGTAGTGGTATGTAGTGGTACGTAGAGGTATGTAGTGGTTTCGATCGTGCTTAAAAGGCGTGCAATTATTGAATAATTGAAACCTGGACTGGGTTGTCGGGCAAAAAGTGCGACATTAGACGTGAAAAATGGTTCTATGCAGATTCGCTCTAGCTAGCGAGATAGCCATTTTTACTTGTGCAAAGCGAGGTATATACTTGTTACGCAAAACATCGTGACTGGCGTGTTTCGTTAATATAAAACGAAATCCTCCCTTTTGAAAAACACGTTGCTGTACGTCTGTCGTGTACTTTCACGACAGGGTAACATCAAGTATTTATTTTCTTCCATTAATCACCATCGTACATCGTCTGGCCCGTTTACTTCGAGCGAGACAAAGGTGCCCGAAAGGTTTCGATCTAATTTCTCCAATTGTCCACAGAATGTTATCGCGTTTTCGAACGTAGTCGGTAGCGAAATTATCTACGGGCGTATTTTTTACGTCACAACTCGCGGGCTAAATATTACGACAGCAGATGGCAACGTTTGCTCAGCGCGTTTGCGGAATTGAACGTTACCCAACAATATCTCTCTGTTCTCCTCCCCGTATCGCCTCGTTTCCTGATATTCCCAGCCCGGCCGTCGGGAATCTGCGGTCTTATTAATAATTCTTACTCTCTGCGGGCACGAAATTTTTACGTCATCATCAAGTTGAAATACAGGTCGGAAGCTATTCGTCATCATTAAATATTCAATAGGGGAGAGCCCCGCAAGAGAAACGGCGGCCCCCTTTACGGCGTGGTACTCGTATTTATAGAGCCCCGCGCGACGCTTATTATTTATTTATTCTGTGCAAGATTTCCATACAAACAGGATTTATGCACCGCGGCGTGTAAGAGCAACCCGTGAATGTACTTTGGGGGGTATACTCCGTGAGCTTGGGGTTCGAAAGAATCGATTTTTTCGAAGGGAGGACATCTTCGCGCGAGTTGGAACATTCTTCACGAAAGAATCGTTCATTTTTCCACTTGCACTCAAGGGATTTTTATGGAATCGAAGTATCTCGCGATCCACCTAAAATTACGAGAGGTTTAAGTCATCGCTTCTATAAATTTTTAATCGTTTAGGAAATACGAGCCCTCGAAGTTTTCTCAATTTTTTACCAATGAAAACTCCCCTCGTGTTTGAATTTTTATCTCGAGACCCGTTAGAGGTATCGACTTCTGTGTCTTTTTATTCAAATCGAGAAGAATAGGCCTCTTTGAATAAAGTTTGCTCAAATTGCAAACACGATTCTTAATATATTTTAATAAAAAAGAATTTTAAACCATCAGTCTTCACCTCTTCATCTTTAAAAGGACGTAAGTATTTCATCGATCTCGAAAGAGTTAACATGGAGAAATTTATGACCAGGAAGAGAGGCGTAGAATTTTAGTTCTCAGGTCCGAATAATTAATAATCGAATCATATTTCATACACTCGGTGCGCTGGATAATCGACAGCCAACTAATGCGTTATTCAGATTTATTATTAAAGTCGTTCCCGAACTACCACCCTTATTTATTTTTCAGTGACGTATATCGGTGAACGAAGGAACAGGTGGATACGATTATTAGTAATATGTAATACATACATAATAAATGGTATAAAAGTAAATGAATTCGATGCTATATATTTAATACATGTTTAATTAATCTAAAATACTCCATTTATGTGGTCAGAAGTCTTCCACTCTGTTCTCTAGCATTGCACAGCGTTTGTCTCGTTCTAAATTTCTCGTTTAGCCCAAAGCACACACGAGAACATTGTTTAATCGTCTCTCTACGTTTGTTTGATATCAGCGTTCATCGAGGAGGGTTATCACAGTACAAATCCTTACCACAACAGTATACACGCGACGGATGTGACTCAGGCGATGCATTGCTTCCTCCAAGAGGAAAAAGTAAGCAGCAATTTTCGGTCGTTGTACTCCGCGGAACAAACATAGAGACTACATAGGATGAAAATGAAGAGCATCCGTTGTAAATTTACAGATTAGGACACACTTAACCAGCCTGGAAATCATGGCATCGCTGATAGCCGCGGTGACGCACGATCTGGATCATCCAGGCGTCAATCAACCGTTCCTCGTCGCCACCAGCAATCACTTGGCCGCTCTCTATCAAGTGAGTCGACGACTTTCGAGAACGCTTAAACGAAATTCCTCCTCTGGATGTTTCAACGCGTACGATTTTATCGATTTCAGAACAAGTCGGTTCTCGAGAATCATCACTGGAGGTCGGCGATAGGATGTCTTCTCGAGAGCGGCGTTTCGGATCAGCTTTCAGCTAGCGTGAGACCAGAACTTCAACGACACATCAGCTCGCTGATTCTGGCGACTGACATCACGCGCCAACAAGAGTTTCTCGTTCGATTCAAGGTGAGAGAAACGATGAAAGCTGCACTAATGACCTTAGCCCTTCTTCTATTAGGGTGAAAAGGTTTCTATGATCTTTTTTTCTTTTTTTTTTTTTTTTTTTTTTTTTTCTGGGATTCTCCCCTTGTCATAAGATGGTTGCGTTACAATGCGAGATACTTTCTATGGGAGTCGCTGAATTTTTCTCAGCGTTGCGAGGATTGCTTCTGTGGCTTTTTCGAACAAGTTCCCTCGTCGCGAAGTTTCTTCGAAATGCATGGAAGAAAGTTGATTCATAAATTAAAAGTTCACAACGACCAGTGTTGGCACTTCTTCTTTTAAGGAAAACTTAAAGCAAGTATTTTTAATGGGGAAGAAAGCTTCCCAGTGGAGAAAATTGTTACGTTCTAGGCTGCAAGAAGTCTTCGGTAAGATTGTTGCTTCGAAACGAATTATGCGCTTTCGAAACAGAATGTGAAACATATCCAAGTATACGAAAGGATTGATCTATCGAGTTTTCCAGAGAGTATCTTCTCGAGTCAAGCTTACCAAGTCTATCAAGTCTAATGTTTCTTTGAATTCTCCTGAAAAGAAGAAATGCATATCCGCTCTACTCGAACCATTAAGTTTTCCAGTCTCTGAAACCATGCTATCTTTTCCAGCACTACTTGGACGAGAACCGTCTGGAAATGAAGCGCGCGGACGACCGTCATTTCATCCTGCAGATAGCGTTGAAATGCGCCGATATATCGAACCCGTGCCGACCGTGGGACATCTCCAGAAAGTGGTCGTACAAGGTATGCGAGGAATTCTTCCGTCAAGGCGATTACGAGCGTCGATTGAACCTGCCCGTGACGCCGTTGTGCGATCGTCATACCACCAGCATACCGAAGATACAAGTTGGATTTATCAAATTTGTCGTGACGCCTCTGTACGAGGAGTGGCACCGTTTTCTAGGCGACGGGCTCAGCGTCTCGTTGATGGAGCATCTGCGTGCCAATCAGAAGAAATGGGAGGCTCTGAACCTCCAAGAAGCTGCCGAAGAAACGGAAACCGAGATCTCTGAGCTGGAGGAAGTGGAGGACGCCGTCAGCTCGACTGGAGACCCAGTGGGAGACGAGGACACCGCGAGTATCGACTTGCTGATACCAGCAGCGTACTGTCAGTCCTCTAAATTGCAGAGCTTGCCAGCACGAGTCGGCCTCGAACGCGTAGGAAGACGTCATTCGGTCCCATTGAGCGTTTCGAAGCCATTGGTGCTGCTACCGCGCGCTACGATCCGTCGCGAGAGTCTGCCCAGCGAAAGAAGCAAGTCGAAGAATCTGTTGCTGAGGCTGGAAGATCAAAGCCTGCTGGATCCAAGTTCCTTGTCGTTGCTCTCGTCCAGAAGCAGCATACACGAGCTGTCGCCGAACGCCAACGGCGGAGAGAGGCCAGTCAGCGCAGAGAGCCTTCTGCCAGAGCCGAGCATAGCCAGCATCACCAACAGCGCCGAAGCGTCGAGATTGAGCTCCGTTCTACAACCAGATATTCAAAAGTCAGGCTCCCAGAAGCAGCTGACGAGACAGCAGACCTTCCCACCTCTCCAACCATACGTTAGAATGAGATACTTGTCCACCACCGTGGAAATGTCGCAATGTTACTCGCAGATCTTGATGGAAGCAGACAGCTCCAGCTCGTCCTCGTCCTCCACCAAGGACAAGTCCTGCTCGGGCGGTCGCTGCGGGACGCCTCCCACAAACGAGGACTCGCAAACGAAACCTGGGAAGACCACGAAGGAGTTCCTCTCGGTGGACGTGGGCGGTAAGAGACGAGCCTCCGCGATCACAGACCTGTTCAAGTCGAAATGCGACGCTCTGCCGAGTGATCATCGTCGTCACTCGGTGCAAACGATACGCGTCGACGACACCAGCTTCAAGAACCGTCACAAGAGACCCTCCTCCGCCCAGGGCACCGACTCCACTCAGAGTTTCTACGCTTCTTTGACCGGTCGCGAGATGGATTCGAAACCCGAGCAGTCCACGTCTAAAACGAAGCAGGACAAGTCCAACCGCGAAGATCAACGGACTACAGTGACGTCGTGTAAATCAGATCAGTGCAGTTCGACGCAAATCTCAAAAGGCAAGTGCGTCGAGCCCGAATTGCGAAGATACTCAACGCCAGTGCCAGTGCCAGAAATTAAGACAATACTGACCGACCCCAGTGGTAGGCGATTCACCGCGATACCAGTGCCGTCTGAACTCACAAGTCATAAAGTGTTCTTCATCGGTAGCCCGCCTGATTCACCGCCCCTCATACAGAGCATATCGTCGTCGAGCGACAGCGGTAGCGAGCCGCGGAAAAACAACGGCGATCACGAGATCGTGTCCACCGGTAGCAAACGGGACTCCGATTCCGTAAAGGAGAAAAGCTCCAAGGTTGCCAAGCTAAGCCTGGACGTGCAGATGAAGGAGAACGTCGATCCACGCGCTGTTGACGATCCGAAGGGGATCGCCTTGTCCAGAAAAGGAAGCCAGGTATAGTTACCTTTGAGGATTCTGAACCTTAACGTACTTGGATTCGTTTATTATATTCTGGATTACATTCTGTGTTACGTTAGTCGTGGGCCAGAAGGCGTGGGTCTGCTCCAGTTGGTCTCCTATCGAGACTAGACGACATCACGGTACCACCTATAACGTCTACTAGAGTCGATCATACTTCTAGACGTGGATCTGTACCAGCTGACATTACTAGGCAACAAGGTACAAAATATTAGAGTACTTGTACTGCTTTTAATATAAAAAAGTATAGCTAACAAAAACATGTCAATTTTTCAGGTGGAGGCTTCAACCGATTAGCCTTAGGACCTCGAGAAGGTTTTGTAGCGGCACCTAGGAGAGCGAGTCTTCCACAAGAAACTGCTCTTGGAAATCTTCTTGGCAATATTTTATCTATAACCAGTACGTGTCGTATTTACCGTTACAAACACCATTTTTTCTTTACGTTTCTCATAGCTGTCGAATGTTCTTTTACAGATGAACGAGAGAATCTCCCAATAAATAATAACAACAATAATAACAATACCGGAACTAGCAACAATAACGGAATAACAAGAATAATTGATAGCACAGGACCTGGCATGCCGTCTCCGCGGCGGGGTTCAGTGCCAGCAGACATATCTGAATTACGCCGTGATATGTTCAATAGGAGTAGCATAAATGGTAAGCCTCGTAATCGGAAAAAGGTTTTGAGGAGGAGAAGTTCTGGAGGACCAGAAATGTTTTCTGGAGGATCCACAGATGGAAACGATAATGGGACATGGCTTAAATGGAAGAGGGAACTAGGAAAAAGGGACTCTATTCCTGAACCGCTCATCAAGCGAAGAGGTTCCCTGCCCATAGAGATGGTGGCCATTTCTCATGCTGGTCGGTACAATCATAGATAGAGGAGGATGTCGTAAAACAAGCCGGTACCATTGCGTTCTCCACTAATTTATATTGAGAAATTCATTCGCAAGCTTGTTAAAAAATTATTAAAGCCAATCGGACTAGCAGCATTTTAGCAAACTCATCCAGCACCGAACGTAGAATTTTCAACCCTTAGATGACCACGTGAATTGTTTCTACCTAAAGTATTACAGCGATAGCCTACATTATTTATTAGAATAAATATACTTATGGAAATGAAAAAGTTGTGCATTCCAGCAGAAGTAATAAAAAGCAAGCACGTTTACTTAATTTGTCACTTAAGCCTTAAATATCTAAAAGAGCAAGTATCAATTCTAGGAGTCTCGTACTCGGACTTAACCCCACGCGGTTGTTTAAGGGTTAAATCCATAGATATCAGCTCTTTCGAAGTCGTGTACGTTGTAATGTTCATAGAACTAGGAGCCCGATCGTTAATTATATCTAACGAGATCACTGTGTATGCACGGCAGGATCAGGATCGGGAGCTCGAAGATCCAGTTTGTGGAGACTTTAGCATGGATTGGAAACAAGTGGATCGCACGTACAACCAGCGGTTGAATAATTAGATCATCGAATGCTACCGTACTAACAGTCTTTCCTTACAACTTTAGCAGCAACAGCGATGATTGACTTCCACGTTCCAAGATTGCCAAAAACTGGAACTCCTTTTATCGACCATACTCGTGGGCAAGTGAATTTTGTAAAATTAATTGAAATTTCTACAATAATAATTGCAATACGAACGGACAGTTGAAGCGATTTCTTCGTCGGTCGCTTACGATTTCATTGCCATCGTCATAGTACTAATGCGTATAGTAGAAGAATCTACTTAACGAAGAAAAAAAAAGGGGAGGGGAAACAGAAACTGGCTTATGTATACCATAATCATTGGCGCAGAATACAAATTTAAGATTGGCAGATAGTAACGTTAAATTTTACGACAGGGTCAACATAGGGAAGGAGATGAAAAATGTGAATTTTAAAGTCTTCCCTGCAATTTACACGTTCGCGTGGAAGAAATGAAATGTATACATATTAGTTATGTTCGCTGTACAGGTTAACTAATTCTAGAAACTGGAACAAGTTGATCTTTTTTAAACGAAAACAAAAAATTGACGCAAGAAAAGTTTAATACCGTGATGAAGGTTATATTTTAATGATATGTTTTCAACGAAACGAATGCAGATACGATGTACACTCGCACTTATCTTTCAAATGGACTCGTGCATTTTTATGCAAAAAGAAAAAATATACATCACATACATTGCGATATTTAACTTGTTCCTACATCAATTTTTTGTATCTACGCTTGGAAAAAAGTTACGGCTTATCTCAGTTTCTAAAATCATCCTGTATGTCCATTTGTGCCATACACAGATGTTGTCGAAAAATTGACACAGTCAAACACAGGGTTCAATATGACGATTATAATAATTAAAATGCCTAGGTACGGAGAAGGAGAAAAGACTGGTAGAGAAACTCACCGCTATAAAACTAGACACTTAAAAAGGCACATAAATTGAATGAAACGAAGTGACATTTGCTCATAGCTAGAAAAATTATGATTTGTTAAACAATTTCGGCAGGATAATGTTGTATCTTCGCTCGATTAGTTATTTTTCGCGTCTGTCATCCTCATTAAATATTATATTCGTTTCTGCACTCACCACGAGGGTGAAGTTTTCTTTCTTTTTTTTTTTTTATTGACAATGTTACGAATAAAATGCAAAAAAATTAATTTTATCGTTAAGTCGGAAATAAGGAAATGTAATAGATATGGAATGTAGCTCTGATAAAAATATACTCGATATCAGCAGTAGTTTTCCTTTGAACTGTAATGAAAATCAAGATAGACATTCCAATGAAACAGATAGTGACAATGCGTAGAACACGAACGAGAGTTAATAATAATAACATTGTAATTATTGCTATTTATCATCATTCATTATAATATCATAATGATCATTATTGTCATCATCGTTGTTGTTATAGTTATAAATGAAATCTTAATGACCGTTTAAATAGTTAAACATTATAAACTTAGGCAGTAACAATACCTGCGTTTAATTACAAGGTTAATTAGTTAGTGAATTGCGTGGAATTATAACCATAATTGTTTATAATGAAAACAAAAGATGGTTACGATGTATGGGTTTACGGTACGTGAACCAAAATCAATCAAAAGCTGAAAAATTCATTGATACTATCTCTTAAAATATTAATTTAGTAATACATATTTAATTAATAAACTTTGGTTACACGAAGGACAATTACTAAACTGCCTATGCACAAACATTGTATACAGAGTGATTTCGAACATCGTTCTATTTTACCGTAAAATTTCATTTATTACAGGGTTACTACGTAAAAACGTTTTAATAGCCTTTTTAATTATTTTTTTAAAAAAGAAGACGAGGAAGGAAGTTGATAATGAATATCACGTACTGCTACAACCTGTCGTCCCTCTGACTGTCAGAAAGTAAAGAAATATTATTAAGCCATTGCAGTTCAGTAATTATATATAACAAGTCTAAGTTTATAACTAATCAAAGTAATAATTGATATCTGTATCGATGTAATATAGATAGGTCATACATTTCCCAGTCAAAATGTTGCAAGCTTAGCAAACTTCCCCTGGTAAAGTTTCCAGATCTTCTCAATGCAGGAACTATCAGAGCTTTATATGTGTTTCACTCGATGACCAGAAAATAAAAGGTGTAACAAGATCACCTAAATAGATTTCAAATCTTTAAACACGAAACGTGAAAACAATTCTTCAGTTTTCCTATTTGTAATGTGGAAAGGCTCTGCGTAAATGACTTATCATATAAGTGTATTAGCAACTAAGTTAGCATAAAACTACTAGTCTTTCTAATTCTTAATATAATCTATCTACAGGATACGTCACGCATATTGGGACCAGTTATACTTGGAATTTGATAAGAGATAGAAGATCGTATAATTCTTTTTGGATCTCTTACCAAATTCGAAATATAATCTGTCTGAAATTCGTGATACACCCTCTGTATGTATATGTACGTATGAACGTGCATATACATATTCGACAAAGAAATGCACAGAAAATACCAAGGAACACATTGACAAAAGATATTCAAAACTTCTATTTATTTATACCTCTTGAGACACCTAACTTTACAGACAGACCAATAAAAATGGGACTAAACAAAATCTCTTTGTAAAAAATTGACCTAGCTTCTGAAGTAAATTTGAATTCAATATTATAAATGACCACTCTGTCCAACTACTTTTCGAAGAATTTATAACACCTAAATATACATGTTCCCCGTTATGCCTCATTCCAATAGAAAGCGATTAATGTTCTTCGAAAATTCTTCTCTTCTGCCATCCTATAGATATCGTGTGTTTGTATTACACCGTTTTCTATGATTGTACTATCTTAGGATGTGCAAAATTAATAAACCAATTCATTATTAATTTATAAGAATGAATGTAAAAGTAGGATATTTGAAATACAATGCATCAAGCAGTGTTAACGCTCATGTGTACGTTCATTTTTTTATGGAACAATGTCGCTCTATCGAACAATGTCGCTCTATTTTTAAGCAGTTACGATAATTTCTCTTTTTTTGTAAACACTCATTCTGCGACTCCAAGAAAGTATTATTAAACGATTATACAAAATTGTTCAATGTTCAGAGGTATAAGGTTTCTTTTAAACAATTATAATCGTAAAAATGCAAAGTTATATTTATATTAAATATAATTCTTGCGAATTTCTTTACTATTTTCTTGAACGACGGATCATTTGAAAATCTAAATTACTATATTCGTTACTAATGTAGTACGTACGCACATTTGATACCTTAGAACAAAAAGATTATGTATCATCTTTCGATATTTCCAAAATTTAATGAAAGAACGAGTAAACGACGAATGTATCTATGAAATTAAAAAGGTAATCGTTGTATTCAAAAACATTAGGTCTGGATAATTGGATATATCCTTAAAAAAATAAACAAAGAAAATAATCGAATGCTACAAAAGAAGTTGTTTCGTTAGTTTGACGATGCCCTTGGTTAATAGTTTTCTTGTTTGTAATTGTACATCGGCAAAATAAATTTGTGTGCAATTCGCAGTATTGGAAATGTCAATTAACAAGTAACAATTCGTACGTAATCGGTCCGACGATAAGAAAATCGTTATGTATTTTCTATAATGTTACTGGTAGATAGCTACTGCGTTAGATACAATTAAACGATGTGTTCTTATCATTATTCATAATTAAATTATAATGTTGTTACAATAAACACGAGGTGCGAAATAATACGATCCGAATGCCTGCATGCGTGACAACGATAAGAATGCGAGTGTAGTCCAGTCGATTGTCCTATTTATACTGGACTGTATGGAGAAAATTAATATATATGTATATGTATGTCGTGGCTCTACATGGCCTATTATATTCATTAGATCGGAATTACTATAGCGAATAATTATAGTACCCAAATTTTCTATCATTTTCATTCGGTTGCATCGACTATTTATTTCGTGAATGTACATGCAACTTTATCAATCGTACAACAAAACTCCCATTATAAGTTTAGAATCGAATGATACGTGATGCGATATGTAAACCCGTCTTCTTTATTAAAAAAAAACACACGCAAATATATTATACGAGTACGTTTTATTGATCGGTTTTATTAGTTTATTTGAAAAAAAATTCGTGGTGCATATTACTTACCTTCGGAGTTGTAAATACTGCAATATGAAAGCAATACTCGAGTGGTCTCGGATCTTGAGAACTTAACGAAATATATTTAACGCAACGTCGAGGGCACGAGGTTTCAAAAAGAACAGCAGCAAACACAGGTTCACGAACGATTTAATTACGTTGCTTTGAATATTGGCGCGAACGCACGCTACCGACAGAGATACCAACTGTAAACAAAACACAAAGGTTGCGTCATATTGCGCACTGTGTCCGGAGTCGTGTGGTCGCGAATCCTCGTTTTCGAAAGAGCACGCACACACATGCCGCGTCGTGAAATCAAATCATCAGCCCGGGAAACGAGAGTGCAGAAATCGCGATCGACAATTCGCAGTGTTCGGTCAGATGCAATCGGTTTTGGCGCGTGTGGTTGCGTACGTGTCGCGTGACTGTTGTTTCGCGTATCTGTGCGCGCTCGGTAGGTCAAAATGGCGTGAACCGACCGTGCGATTTTAGGTTATCTTCGCTCGTGGCCAAATAACGACGGATCCAGGAATAAAAGCCAAGCGTCCATAGACACGTCTGACAATCCTTCCCTTCGTGTCACGCATCGCGATCCTCCACGTGCGTTTTTTGGCCCGGAGTTACATGAGTTATGAGGACGGAATGCCCGCAGGCGGTAACAGTCGTTTCCGCGGTTACCCAGCGCGGATGTCCGAGCGACAACAACTCGCGCTCCTTCTTCAAATGACCTCTCAAGAAATAGTATCAGGTGAGGACAGACAGGAACTTTCGTTACGATTAAAACACGCGCGCAATTACGGTGCACCTCGCCGCGAGAACAACGTAATCGATCGTCGAACGATAGTCTTATCCTACCCTGTACCTCCTACTATCAATGGAGTGCTTTCGACGTATATCGAACGTCGTATTTGCTCCGTATTTATCACAGAATTACGTAGCTGACAGTAAGATTCAATACAGCGTGACATATTACGTGCCATTTACATATCGCGCGTAGGTTAGTCCGAGTTCCTGATTCGATTGTCAGTCGTGCATTTATTTACCAATGCACCAACAACCGACACTCTCGTAAATTCTACGTGACTTTTCTGCCTCGCTTAGGCGCATATCGCCCCGCTAAACGTATTTCTTTTATCGAAACACGCTATAACGCGAAAACGGAGCTAGTTACTTGGCGCGAATCAGTGTTTGCTCGCCTGGATTGTACCATCAGGCCTGCCAACTATGTAACCGACTGACAGTCGACGTTCCCGCGATATCGCATTCAATGGCGCATGCTGACTTTAAAACGAAAGGAAGGGGCAACGTTAATAGAAGTAATTGACATGCGTTCGAGTTCCCGCCACAGGAGATATCCTGACAGCGGGACCGATTGTCGGTAACTTGTTGCAAACTGTTATATTTCCAAGCAGGAGGCGTTTATGCTGATGCATATTCCCGCGACGATACTTATCAATTGTATATTCGTAACGTGTTTATAGATACATGCGTTTCATCTCTGTAGCAATTGTTTCAAAAAACACGAATCACTTTCGGAATCTCTGAAACCATTGAAATTATCTATAAAATAGTTGTTTACGTGATCACAATTATAAGAGACAATTAGATGGTAGAAAAACCCTTTGCATCAAAGTATCATTGCATGTAACCAGAAAACAACATGGTTCGTATGTATACATTTTCACATCGTGATGCTAATATTTTTATTTACTCCTCGGTGCATCGAAATCTTGATCGATATTTATAACTCTGTACCGAATCGCGGTACAGAGCTGTTCGGTGAATTTAATTCAGTGATATCCAAGCTAAACTCGTTCAGATTTGAATTACGACGAATGCCGCTACATTGATACTAATAAAGCGTGAGTTACGTAAATACGTCGTAACTAAAATCTTGACACGCTCCAGTTATTATCTCCTCTAACATAATTCGTTTGCTTTCAGGTGGGAACAGAACGGAAACCACGACGACAAGCACCACCCCGAGATCATCGACGTTGCAACAACGGGGGTCCAAGGGACGCTGGACGAGCAAGAATGGTGAATCAGCGGTCCAGGCATCCATCAATCGCAAAGAAGATTTTCGCGTGCGGCAGATGCTCGTTAATGGATACGAACTGAACGCTAAAGAAACTAACGGTGAGTAACTTTTGTGCTTCTACATTATTAAGTTTGTTCTTTAAATTCTTATCTATGCAGATATAGCATTTGTGATTTGTTACGTGACTTTAGTAACGAACATAGTCGACTACTTTACCAAGCTTGTTCTATATAAACATAAACACATGTCGCGAACGATAACGTTACCTTGATATTTGTTAATAGGAGACAAATGAAAGAGTACAACTTTCTATTAAAAGAAATTTCTCTACGGAACCTTGAGATGTCCTTGGCGGTTTAAATATAACAAAAAAATCTTTGCCACGTCTTTTATAAAATTAAAAACGTCTGCCTCGAACATTCTTGTCTATCTTTAAAAATAAACGAGTTGTCCACGTGACCTGACTTAAATACCCCACCTCTGTGCAGAGCGTATCCTAACATGTGGGGTCCACTTCGGCGGATGGATTCGGGTCACCTGGATCACTCGTTTATTTATAAAAAGTGAACAGAATGTTCGAGGCACAAGTTTTTGTTTTCGTAGAGGGCACACAGTTCCAAGCAGATCTTAAGAAAGGTAAAGCGAAATGAAAAGGCTGAAAGGTTAATCTTCCTTTTCACAAGGTCCGCGAATAGTGTCCCAACGATTGCACATTCGCAGATCGTAGTCACTTCGTAGTAAGATCAGGGGTACTTGTGTCTGCTTTCACCTGACTGACTTCCGCTTTCAATGGATCGCTCGTTATCACTGATACGCGTCCGTTTTTAACGTGCATGTAATTACGCGCTCAAGCCGGGACAGTTTTCTTTCAACCGAAAGACAGCATTCCATGGGGTCGGTCACCTTTGGTTCTTGTGTATAGCAGAGACACTCGTCGATAAATGAAAGCGACGGTGCACGACCTTCCTAAACGCAGGAAGTCAGCGGGTCCCGGGTTCATTCATATACAATCTACCTCCGTTCCTCGGCTACCCTTCCTCCGGCCCGTTTCGTCCCATTACCCTTTAAGGTCGAAGAAGCGGTCCAAATGAACGGTATTATTGTTTACAACATTTTTCTGACCTACGGCAGGGAATAAATAGAAATGCAAAAGCGCGCTTGGAAAGCAATAGAAATTGCTACCTTAACGTAACGAAATGACAAACAAATATTTCTGTTTAAACTAGAATTACAGGTAATTGAATGTGAAGGCACAGAATAAATTTCTACACCTAATATATCATGAAATAGCTAGATGTTTACGATTATGTTTAAGGTGACCATCTACTCTGAGACGTGTCGTCACTTTCCGTTTTAGCCGGTCTTGTTCCGTTACGTAAGCGGACACGAATTTCCGTAAATATTGATGCCATTCCTCGCTACACAATGGGTTATACGCAGAGGTCGAATTTAAATCGCCATGTCGAAAACACGGTAGAGACACCGTGGTACCTATACGCGGAGACAATGTCGGCGTAAGATGCCTAATAGGGTATTCACCAGCACCCTAGTCACAGGTGCACGACATCCTTGTTGTTCAGGGGTTGCGGAGGGATGAAACATCCACCGTGGAGCTCTGGAGGGGCGGCAGACAACTCTCGTACAGATCAATACTCGAGACAGGGCCGCACTGTTCCATATAATTTTTCAATTCAGTCTTAAAGCGTACGATTTTTTCCTTGTTAAACTTGCAACATAATTCCGATTTTTCGTGTAAACGCACCAGAATTCATTTCTACACTTATTTTATTCGACAGGATAGTTAAAGATGATCAGATGAAATCTAATTTTATCTATCGTACGTAATAGTAGATCGAACGCTGTTTATCTTTTATTCGTTATTCGAAACTTTAAAAAAAAAAAAAAAAAAAAAAAATGGATCATTCATTGCTTCAAAGTAAAGTTTGCTTATTCTCTTTTGGCTTTATGATATTCGTTAGGCGCAGGAATTAATTGCGTGCCTTTACATTCAGTTATTTATAATTCTAGTTTGTTATAATTATTCCAGTTGATTCGCGAAATAACTTCACTTTCCCTGAACGTTTCCGAGCGAGTCATTTCAAACGGAAGCTCGGCCCTGGTTTTACCTGTTAGACGGTACCCACGACAAATCCAATGTTTCCACGGAGAATTTCGAACTCCTGAGTTTAAAGCTGAAGGTTCGGGCGCTGTCGTGCCAGACATTCTTGAGGAAGTGGTCTTTAATGCCTATGGGCGTTGGATGTTCGAGAACATAACGCTACGCACACATGGATTTTATCAATGCTCGTTCGTACTTGTCGAAACGGAGCTAATGTTTTTATAACTCTGTACACGTGCATGAATATTCAATCGTTCCACGAAGCAAATTACATTTTTGCACGCACGCTGACTGTCCAAAAGCATTCGTTTCCATTATCAAATTCTGATATCTGGTGGGCCCTTCTATAACGCGGTTGATACTTTACGCGTTGTAGGAAATTGCGTCGTAGGAAATCAAACAAGAAATATAGAAACGAATTACGGTAAATTTACATGTAATGCAGAATTCTGTAGCGTTTGAAACAATCTATTTGAACAAATTCTCCAAATTTCGCGTCGTAGGAATTCGCGCACGACATCGCAAATAATTTCTACGTAAATCTAACTGTATTTTTCAAAGCTTCCTGTAACACGCGTTCGAATCTTGCTACGTTCATTACAAAATTTCTGTTTATCGTCCAAGTTCGCGAATTTTCGAAAATAATTGGCCCAAGTTACGAACTCGAATTTCTGGCGTAACGTAATTAAAGCGAATGAAGTTTTTATCGAATGGCTGCGAGAGGAGGAGGCGGTATCGGGCGCCGCCCGTGTCCTTAAAGCCGATAGACCACTCAACGAATGACTGGGCTTGTTTATTGTAAGGCCAGTTTCCAACTATCGTCACTGTTACGGTACTGGAACAAAATCATAGCACATCCCCAACATTTTTGTTTATATTAGGTGTAAACATTATATTCTGTGTTTTTCTATGGTAAACTTTTATTTAAAAACAAAGACTATACCACCTATGATCTTCCAATAGCTTCAGTTTTCATCTGATATACATATAGTTTACGTACTCACCGTTTCCATTTTCTTAAAACGAGTTTGAAACACTCATTGAAACAGAAATAGGGTTACAATGTCTTAAAACAGACTGTTCCATCTTTGGCTGTAAATGGCTAGCCTTATTCTAACGGCAGAGATATCGATTAGGAAGAAAACCGACGAATGTCGCAACTCCTCGACAAGGACCGCCACGAGTTTACATCGGAAATGAATTTTCTCCAAATAATAAGTAACTAACGAAACGTTTGTTCGATTGACCCTTCATTTGTGAAATTTTGTTTAGCTTTATTCGTTAGGCGAGATTTTTCTCGTGGGTGAGAACTTGGTCCATTTATGGCTTACACGACATTCTACAGGATGTTCGTATTCAACCCTCTTGCTACCGTGTATCGTGTATCGAGCTTCATCTGGTCGGGAGCATCGTGTTTCTTTTCCTCCATTCCTTTTCGTCGTGTCCATGTTAAAGAAGTACAGATCCGCAAAAACACGTTTTTGGTCATTATTTGTCAAATATCGAACCGTCAGGAACAATAAATTTAAACTACTTATTTTTACTAAAATGGTTTACAGGGTTAGATTCTTCTAAAGTATAACATAATAAACACGTTGCTGACAAAATTGTATCTTGGATGAAACAGATTGACAAATTTCCCGTTTCACAGTAACAGACAATGCTTTGATGCTCGTAGAATGATAAGAGAACGAGAAAGGGAAAGGAGATGGGGTGAGAGTCGATATTGCGAAAAAGCTATTGTTAAGAAATTTCAGGCTTTGTCTGGTCGTGTATTCTCTTGACAGGCAAACAGTTCGAGATAGTTGGAATCTGTAACCGTTAAAGAAAAAAAAAAAAAAAAAAAAAAATGCAGCAAGGTGACCGCAACAATCGCTCTAGTCTATCCTCTTTAAAGTAAACGTTGCTTTTCATGTGTGTAAATGCCCAGAGAACGTGTCTCGGGCCCTTTCGGATTCGTCAGTAAGGCACACGTCGACAGACCGCCAGTCTTCTCCCCATAGCAATTAGCTTGACATTCTACTGAATTGCGTTTTCACTTTTCCAGGATTTCTACGCTTCCTTTGTTCTCAGTTTCCCATCCTACCACCTACGTCTCTTTCGCTCGCATATCTCCTCGTCTTCTCGCTACTTTTCGAATAGGAACGCGATTAAGCTTGCCGTTCTCGGTACCGAGTACTCATTTTTCACGTCATATGTTAGTGGTTAACTATCCTTAGAGTCGTACTCGATACGAGAAAAAAGTGTTTACATACAAACGATTCCAATGATAGCTAAAGATTAAGTAAACAGGAAATAACAAGCCAATTACACTTTGTAAGAATCGAGTTAAGAACGTTTAGTTCTCAAATAAATGTTCATGTAAGTCAAAAAAACTGGCGAAAGAGCATACTTTAATTTGATGAAAATGCAGATTTAGGTACGTCGAGGAATCCCCGGCAGTGTTCTGCAGTTGATTAGAATACGCTAGGAAAAGAAAGCAGGATATATCATACGTCATTGTTGATTGATAGATCACCATCGCTAGAGATGGTACTTTCCGATACACAGAAAACTACAAAGTTTATACGTTTCTGTCGGCTACATGAGCGAATGTCTGCAGCCTTCTACAGGTTTATTTGGCGCAGAGCGCGCGGACGCGCTCGAAAAGTAAGCGATAATGCGACTGGTGTGCTCAGCGCAGGAGCGGCACGTGAGGAAATGCTGCCACCGACACATTCTCGCCTACAGGATATAGCTGGACGTGTATATACGTTAACCTATACACGTTTCGTATGGAAGTCGCATGCTTTTCTGGCAGTGTTAGCTGCGTTCACATCCATAGCGTCATGAACGCTCGCAGAGCGCACGACCGACACTGCCGTTGGCGGGATCAGCTCGGGTCCTATTGGCCAGGGAGAGCATCGCGGGCCACAGTTGGTGGGGCGATGCGGGGAAAGGCGGAGCCAATCGTCGACATAGCGACGCAACATGGCCTCTAGTTCGCGAGGGGCCGTGTTCGCGTGCACGTCGAGCACGTACACATACGGACTCTCCCCCGGCGGACCAACAGATGTCGCCCTGACCACCTTTGAATCGTCAAGATCGGCGTGACAATTGAACCTACAAAGAAAAAAGAAAACCGAGAAGGAACCTGTTTATGGCAACGAAAAAAAAGTGATCGAATATCGATACGAAAGTACTCGTGAGAGTAAGTTGAAACGAAAAGATTTAGTGGTACCGATGCATCGAATTGTAGAAGACAACCAAAAGCAATGATAACCAATTTGTCACGTTTCGAAGCACCAAAACATTCCTTGGATATCGAAACACCTCGCAACTCACAGAAGAAGCCCACTCTCGCGAATTGATTGCCACTGTTGAAACGTGTATGTGTTTTTTCTAAGACTGTATCGACGACAAGGATATAGGATTAACTTGGATTTTCTTTAGACGTATACAAAACTGTGACGATACTAATCAAATATCTCAGGCTGAAGTGCGAGTACGAAGTGTAACCTCTTTTCTTCGTTAATGTAACATTGTGCAAAGCTTTCACGTTTTAGTGTTCGTACTGTGTTTGTAAGCTTGTATAGACATTACATGGAATGAAAGTATCGAGTACGACAGAAATGTTAGGTTATCTAAAATATTGAACGAGTAAAGTCGTAGTATCGAAAAATATTGTGTACGATTCAATTGAACTTTTTACCATTGCTTCACTGTTCCACTGTTCTCTACTTGAACGCGAGACATTCGAAACGTATTACGAGAATTGCAAGTGTACGTCCAGTAAGTTTTTATTTCTGTTTTATTTGTGAGTACAGATATTACAGGTGCGAGTTCACCTGATGACAGCACGACCGCTGCCTCCGATAACCCATGCTCTCCGGCTGAAACGAGCACAGCTGCGTCGTCCAACGAGCAACAAGAACAGGACCAACAACAACAACAACAGCAGCTTTACCAACATCAACATTCTCAGTTTCAACAACAACAGCAACGTACAACCGGAAGTGCGGCAACCGCTGCACCGCACGTTGCTGAGGACAGTGGAGCCCCCTGTGAGATGCGGAGGACACCACCGCAAAATAAAGGTGAGTTCACGTGCGAACGAGTTTTTACCCTAAACGTAAAACCCTAGATCGGTGTGAGTTTCGAAGTAGGGAATGAACAGAGAACATCTTGATGGAACCCCGTTCTTTATGTTAATATATGTTACGTTTCTTATTAGTACATATTTTTCTATTAGGATGGTTAGTCTTTTGAATCTTTTTCAAGGGGATGTCATACATATGTCATATGTCTTATTTATTCCTAATTATGCTACGATAAGGGTTGAATCTAGTGATAAATACCGACGGTGTTTCCCCTGCGTCTTTTTACCGACACGCGGAAAGGTGCGTTTACCGACATGGTAGTTCCACAAACGACAGCTAGGTTTGACGAGCGTAACAATCGCACTTTTTGACAGTTTCCATATTTACAAATTCCTTAGTTTGATAATCAAGCGACGTCGTGTAACAAATGTACGAAGTGAATCTTGGGTTCGATATATTTTCATAACATAATTCGATCAAAATATTAGGTGTAGACATTAGTCCCTTTAATTCTGTGTTTAATTTATAAATTATATTCATCATAAATACGATGTTATCATATTTTATACGAATGTAACTTTTAAATAAAACGTGATAGAGAATTGCGTTTTACGGTATTGCTTCTACGATAAATTATATTGAATGAAAACACGGTGAAATCGCAGATAATGCTCGACTCGATAATTATTCGAGATTTCCATCTAGATGAGAGTTTTTTCCGCTGGTGAGCCAGCCGATAGGTAGAGGCGCGCGCACGCGGGGTTCGTTCGCATTGCAGTGTGGATAGGCGCGAGCGATGGCAATCACCACCGATCGGTAATAATAGCGACCGATGCAGAAACAGCACTTAATTAGACGTGACATTCCCGAGTAGTGACGCGTCGGTATCATGCGCGCGGTGCAGTGTGCCGCGCCTGGTAGAAGTTGGTCGGAGACGAAGACGCGGCGACACAGTCGCGGGCCGGTTCCTCTCTCTCTTAGCTCTCTCAGTGTCTTCGGTCTCGCGTGTTGTGTGGGTGCCGTGCGAGGCGGCATCGGCAGTGGTGTACACACGCTGCTGCCGCGGCTACTGAACCTCTCTCGGGCCTGTCGTCGCCGTGGCTTGCTCGTCATTGTCCTTCCTGTTCCCTCGCCGTGAAACAACCGTAGACCTTTTATCGTTTCGCTACAATATCGTTCGGGTCGGTCCGTCGCACGAACAGGTATGCGCTCGAGGCCACGTTACACTCTTCGCTCGGGGACCCCCTCGCTGCTATCGGATCACCCAAAAGTACCGTTACTATAGCTAAAGTACTCGGCCCGACCACGTGGCTCGGCGCGTGTTTCGGACTGTTTTTAACTCTTGTAACGTGTCTCGTCGTCGTCGCGTCGATTCGTTCGCTTCGATCAGCCCGAGAGCTCGAAAGAAACGCGTCGTCGAAACGGGAGTGCCGAACCTTGGAACACATCTTCTGGTCTTTCGACGGAGAGGGACGAAGCCAGACTTCTCGGAGGTGAGAGAGAAACGAGTACAGGGGGGGGGAGAGCGAGAGGGGGAAGCCTGCAGAGAGAGAGAGAGAGAGAGAGAGAGAGAGAGAGAGAGAGAGAGAGA